AGCTATAAAGAACGTATTCTTATTATGTTTTCTAGCCACTGAGTAAACTTCAGCATAATAGGATTTGAGATTATTTTAATTAAAAATGTCATGCAATGTATAATAGTTATTTAAAAATATATATGACTAAGGCAAATATTTCATCCGGTTGTGACTAGAACCGGCCATGAACTTCATAAAGATGTTCTCTGTTATTACTTACCTCTGGGACATCAAAGTTGCCATCCTTTGCATCACACATGTCCAGAGATACGAGCCGAAGCATTGGAAACTGTTGATTGTTGAGATAAGTTAAGTAACAACAGACTATCTCTCTTTATGTAAAAAGACAAGGAGTGTCTGAAAATATATACCTTCAAAGCAGCATCAAGAAGGAAGGTTTTCTGTATCCCAGAGCCCTGAATTAACATATAGAAACCGTCAGAAAAAAAAGCACAACACATCAAAGATGTAACATACCACTAAAAAGAGTGTGGACATGTCAAAGAGAGGACTCACATTGTGGCGAAGCAAAAGATCTTCAAGAGCAACGCAGCCATAGAGAGAAGCAACATCATTCTCTGTTATTCTCCCACATTCCTATCACCCAAAACATGGTTAACGTATGTCTAAAAAGGTTCCCGTTTAACATGGAAAAAAGATTTGAAGATGACTTAAAACTTATCTTATATAATTATATAAGCTTAAAGGGTACTAACAAACCTCTAGATGAAGAGATATCATTCCAGGCCATCCAGCTGAGATGATTGGTTGGGAATCTGATAAATAAACATCAAAACAAAAGGTGAACAACAAAATTAAGTGATTGGTTTCCCTACTAAGAAAACATATACCTGAGTTTAAGTGTGAACATCCAACTAGTGTAAGCTCGGTCAAGTTCGGACAGCTTTGCGTGAGAACAAACAAATCTTCATTTGTCATCCAACGAGTTACCCTCTCAAGCCTTAGTTTCCTCAGATTCGGTATAGAGAACTTAAAACTTTGAAGTGTTATGTCACCGAAACAATAAGACAAAGCTAACTCCTCTAAGTGCTTCAATGATGTCACTAAACTCATCAAGGCAGAGTCAGATATTTCCTGCATGGGGCATTAGTTATTAAACAAACACTCACTTATCTTTCAAACTATTAAGGATCAGAACTACCTGAAAGTAAAGAACTATAGACTCTAGCAAAGGACAAGCTGATGGTAGAAGCGTCAAACCATCTTCACCTAAGGAAGCACCCAAACCTACACTAATAGCTCGTAGGGACGATAGTACAGGTCTCAAGGACACAAGAGAGAAATAAGTAAACCCCCAACCAATCTCAAGCTCCTCTAGTCCACTTCCTTTGCTTAAAGAGTTAAACACAGTCTCTGATTGTATCAGATTCTTACATCCCCTGGCTTTAAGGCTTTTTAGATTTTGATTTTTGCTTATTACACGAGCAAGAGCCATACTAGATATCTGTAAGAAAGGTCCAAGCATTCAAGTGATGCTAATTATGATAACAAGTGTTAATGAATGAATGCCTGACCGTGGTATTTGAAATATCAATTGCTTCTAAGGATGAGACAGAGAGTTCACATAGAACACTGTCTGAAACTTTTGTATCCCTTAAGCAAAGACTCTTCAGTTTCTGTGTCCGAGTTATCAAGTTTATAAGCGACGTCTCACTAATTCCTGAAAATGTAACACTAAATCTATGTTAGAAATCCATGAGACTTTAGAGAGGCTGAAAGGGGAAAAGATACACACCTTCGCATTTACTCATGTGCAGCATTTGAAGGTTGGATGCTAATGAATTGGTCACAGAAGTACCAGCGCATAGTGCCAAGACCGAGTTCTCCGAAAAAGAGGTATAGCAAACGATAAGAGAGTGTAAACTTTTACACCTCTGTATAGCATATGCTATACATGCATCTGAGAGTAGTGCACACCCTTTTATGTTCAGGTAACATAATGAACCACATAACCTAGAGATGCTTCGTAGATCCTTATCTGATACAATGAGGCATCAGCTAGTTTAGCATACATTTGAGCTACCTTTTAGTTTATTAACAGCACCAAGAAGAAGACTAACCATATAAATCACTTCTACCCTCCAAAGTTAGTCTTGTGATACACGAGAGAGAACGGTGAACTTGGCCAGAATCAAAGGAGTTACTTCCAGATGTTAAGGAGATGATGGGAGGAGTCTGAGCTAAACCTGGACTTGTGTAAAACACCGATGCTTGACATGGTATTATAGGAACGATATCAACTGTTAAATCAACTTCAGTAAGGTTGCCAAAACTCTGGAGAAGTTCAAGCATTGTGGACACCTTGATGTTTAAGAGATAAGCAGCTCTTAGCTTTCTTAATGATGGGAATGACTTAGAGATGCACTTGATGGTTACTTTGTAATCAAGCCTCTGACACTTGGAGATATCAATCTCTTCCACATTTTCAAAAGATGAGATTGGTAAAGTTGTCTGAGATGATTGTTCTTGGTTTCTTGCGTCGTCTTCAGGGTTACTTAGGAAACTATTCAGACTCTTTCTCCACATGGGGTGTGAGAAATATGTTTCAGGAAGTACTGAAAGTAGCAGAATGGCTTCATTTAACTGCGTGCATCCTGAGAGGTCCAGTTTCTGATTCAGGGAACAAAGGCATCATTAGGCAGAGGCTGGTGAAGCATTCTCCCAAAAATTTAGGAAAAGTTTACATATAATTTTTTTGTATATAAAACCTTTACTAAATTGTTTATATCCCTCAAAATCTCACAAAGCCTTTGAGGACTCAGAAACTAGTACAAATGAATCAACGACATCCAGTGTAATGGTATATGAACATATAAGACAGATACATTGTTTAAGATAGATACCTCTGTGTATTGAGTCAACCGAACTCTAAGATCAGCAGGGGGTCCATCTCTTATACTATCAACCAAGCATTTGGATGACATTTTCGTTAGTTTAGTAACCATTTCAATGCTGTGATCAGCAAACTTTGAGAAACCATGAGTCTTTCTTCTTTCTGAAATATAGTAACAAACTTAACTACATAACTTTCTGCTATATTGCTAAGTATCTATCACATACATTACCTGCAATAAACCACAGCGGTAAAAGACTAAACCGGACCTGCAATATAATACACCAGAGACTACAAAGATGAAATGCTTAGAAAATTTGATACATGTTTTTGTTGTATTTTTCAATTTCATCTCTGCATAGCTAACAGACCTAAACATTACCTGTTCCATCAAGCTGTCTATGTTATCCTTACTAGTCTCTGATAAATCAAACAGTCTTTTGTTGGCATCAAGCCAAACAAGAAGTGCATCAGCAAGATGCATCTCACTGTCAGGGTTTGGTTAAAAATATGAGAATCTTAAGGTATGTTTTGCATTGATATAATATTACAAACCTACCTGTCTACAGTCAGATGATCATGTTTTATGCAGCACATCAACAACTCATAAGGAACATTTCCAAAATACAGATCGGATTTCAGCAACATCTGCACAAGACATAGGATCCGTTTATTAGATATCAAAGATTAACATTATAAGAAGAATTTAGATCCTTCAGACCAGCTAATGTAAAAATGATAAACAACCTAACAAAAGCAAAACTGTGTTCTCTTTACTGACAGTTTAGGTACATACGAGATTCTTTGCAAGATAGGCTGCACAGAGATCTGGCACAAAGTCTACAGCTGTAAGTATTCAAAGTCACTTGTTAGAGATACTGTATAATAATGTCAATACCCTAACACAATGAGCATTAGCTTGTACTTGGAAGGACACCACAAACATTCAACATCAAATGAACCATGCATGATTCAGAGAAACTAACTTAACATAACAAGTGTTAAACTCGAGATTCTAACCACGCTCGAGACCGAAACTCCACATCTGAACAAGGTCAGGCAATTCTAGTATTTGTGATGCAGGGGCCTTTGATGATGCCAACACTGAAAGCCATCTCTTGCATTTAGATAGAAGCCTCTCAACACCGAAGTAGAGTGCAGCCTATATTGGCCATTCACAATTTAGCTTAAACAGAAAAAAGAAAGAAAGAAAAAGAGAGCAGAGGACTAATATTAAAAAAGAAGCTTACATCGAAAAGAGGTAAGAAACTAGTGGATGAAACATCAATGGCGCAATGATACATACACCTCATAAGAATCAAGAAAGTCTCTATGTTCCATTCTATAGAAATATGTTCACGACCTGATTCACTATTACAAATCCAACTTGAATCAAGCTACACAACAAGAGCTAGAAACAATAACATAACATGCAGACAGAAGAGTTTCACCTAAAGCTTCCGCTAAGAAGGCCATGGAAGTAAGAAGATTCTTGAATGAGCCTGGCATACAGAGACACAAAAAACCAAGAATCATTTCAACTTGTTACTACACAAACACGAGATTGTCAATATGAAGTGTGTGAAACAAGACATGCCTAGTTCGATGAACTTGAACTTTGACTCTTCTGTAGCAGAGTATCACTGACATATCCCATGATGAAATATCCGAAGCTGAGATTGAAATCACTTGACATGGAGAAGAAGACTCATCTTCTTCTTGAGGTTGATTATTATCCACGACAAGGATCACGAACTCATCGTGTAAGCTTCTTAGCTGTGCCATTGATACTTCACAGAGAGAGAGAGAGAGAGAGAGAGAGATCGGCGGCTAGTTAAAAAAAAAGTTAGTTTACTATGGAGTGAGATGAATTCAAGTTTTAACAGTCATCCAATGACAAACCGAACCGAACTTAAATCTTTTAATTTTTAATAACCGGGATAATTTGGTCTCCGATACAAGAGTCTTTTCACCTGCAAATATGTTTTTGGATTCATTTCAGTAACATATAACAGAGTCACTGATTAGTACTAAAGACAAAAAGACAAGCCACAGCCTCTACTACATACACTAACCAACAGTTCAAAAAGATTGGCTTGGGCAACAAAAAATAATCTGTGGCAACTAATCATTCCAAAAAAGTAGAATGTTTTGGTTCTTTGAATCAAAAAGAATCTGCTATGCTTGCAAGCTTTGCAGATAAACTCAGTTTCTTGGCAATAAATTTCATCTCCTCGTCAAGTAATTCCTTCCACTCATCAACTAACTCTTTTTTTCTTTGAGCTCCAAGGTTTGTCAGCTTCTGCAGCATCAACTTCTGTTGATATTTACTTATACTCTGGAACAATGTCGTTGCCTCCTCAAGTGCATCCTTGAGAGCACAATACTCATCGCCATCTTCCTCACTCTTCTCATTCTCTTCTCTGTCAGTTAGTGCATCTTTCAGAGCACAAAACTCATCTACACCTTCTTCCTCACTCTTTTCTTTTTCTTCTTTTTCTTCAGTTATTGCATCCTTCAGGGCACAGAGTTCATCCACACCATCTTCCTCAATCTTTTCCTTCTCTCCTTTATCAGTCTCTATACTTACGTCACTCACCGGCTCAGCCTTATTCAAAACAAGAATTAAGGATCAGTTACGTAATATCAAGTTTTACATAGTGGTTTGTGATATAGTAATAAGATGATTGGGAGAGTAGAACAAGCACTCGCTACCTCTTCTTCGTCCATATTCTTGTTAACTCGTTCCTGCTCCTCACAAGGCACATCCTAATCCACAATAAGAATCCAAGATCAGTACACATTTTACATAACGGTTTGAGATGGTAATAAGATGGTTGGAAGAATAGAACAAGCACTCGGTACCTTTTCTTGGTCCAGGTCCATATTCCCATTAGCTCGTTCATGCTCTAGACATGGCGCATCGTTGTCCATAGCAAGAACCTAAACAGCATTAGACATTAGTTTAGAGATGGTAATAATGATATTGGTAGAAACAGAATAAACACTACTCACTACCTTTGCCTGGTCCACATTCTCATCAACCCGTTCATCCTCCACAAAAGGCACATCCTTATTTAAAACAAGAACTTAAGATCAGCTACGCATAACTAATATAAAATTCTAAAACGTTTTGAAAATGGTAATGTGGAGCTAAAGTGGAACAGAACAAACACTCACTGCCTTTGCCTGGTCTATATTCTCATCAACTCGTTCATCCTCCACAAAAGGCAAATCCTTATTTGAAAAAAAAATATTAAGATCAGTTTAACATAAAATTATACAATGTTTTCAACAGGTAACAAGGAGCTTGATGGAACAGAACAAACAGTAATCAATCACTACCTTTGTTTGATCCATATTCTCATCAACTGGTTCATTCTCCACACAAGGTGCAACACTGACTACATTGCCTTGGTCTATATTCTCATCAAAACGTTCATTCTCCACACAAGGAACATCCTTATCCAAAAACAAAAGGCCAAGATCAATTACGCATTCCTCTAATCTCAAATAATTACAATAACATTTCAAGATAGTAACAAAGAGATTGGCTTGAACATAACAAAACACACAAAACTCACCTTAGCTTTGTCCACATTCTCATCAGAAGCTGTTTCATTTGCTGTATCCCATATGATCATAGACAATTTAAAGATCTCATCATCTTCAGTACTAGTAAAAGAAGGTCCTTCCTCATCGTTACACCTCGCCTTATTACCCAAAAACCTCCTACTCAAATTCCTAATCTTATCAAAAAGCTGCTTCTTAGAGAACTCCGATTCAATAAAATCCTTAACGTATTCGTAGAATGCATCCCAGTCAGATTTATAACTCAGTTTCGTCTCCTTCTCATAATCCACAATACTCTGTTTAAAAAAACAGAGTGTTAGTGTTAAAAAAACAGAGTGCGAGTGTTAAAAAAACAGAGTGTGAGTGTTAAAAAAAACAGAGTGTGAGTGTAAAAAACAGAGTGTGAGTGTTAAAAAACAGAGTGTGAGTGTTAATAACAGAGTGTGAGTGTTAAGAAAAACAGTGTGAGTGTTAAGAAAAACAGTGTGTGAGCGCTAAAAAACAGGGTGTGAGTGCTAAAAAAACAGAGTAAAGAGTGTAAAAAACAGAGTGTGAGTGTTAAAAAACAGAGTAGAGAGTGTTAAAAAACAGAGAGAGAAAGAGAGGATTTTTGCAATACCCCGAGAATGATGAGCTCGTCGTCTTTAGTCCACGTCATCTTAGAGGAGGAAGACAACGGCGTAGTCTTGGGTTGTTTTCTCCTTCTGAGCATAGCCTCCATGCCGGAGACGTCGTCTTCTTGCATACTCCTGAGGGGAGACGAAGAGATGGGTTTGTTGTGATTGAGTAGGGTTTCGAAGCAATTCGAGTTGGAGTCAATGGAGTGTTCACGAGTTCGCTTCCCAAGAACCATTGGTGAATCAAAGATCGGAACTTTGGGAGATGGAGAAAAACCCTAATTTTTAATTCAACTGAGAAGAAAACGAAGGAGACTGTATGAGAACTGAAATGACTATAATGCCCTTTGTCTCATTCGGAATGATATACTACTGACAGATATTTGAAGAGCGTGACTTGTTAATGTGATGGTTATTAATTTCTCCAGAAATATATTCGACGGGTTGCAAATAATAGATTTGACTGGAGGTATTTAATGATAGTTATTATGTTCTTGTAACGGAAATTTTGGTAATTTTATACGAGTATTAATTTCAGAAAGATTTCGTATATAGGCCAATTAAATGTTCAATTTAGAATGATGGGCAAAAAATAATTTTGACTGGATGCATTTAATGATATTTATGTTGATTATAACAGAATTGTGATAACTTTAATAATAATTTCAGAAAGTTTTTAAAGTATAAGTTTTTAGATTAATTTCAGATCTTTTAAAATCTCGAATTTTCAAATTAAAGCCAATAAAACTTTCAACTTATGTTTGAGCAAAACAAAATCCTCCAATTTTTAAATGTTAACCGTTTTCATTCTTATATTTTGTTGACTATGTCATTTAAAAAACTCAGATAATCAACTGTAAACTCGATTATAAAAATAGATGACTGTTTACTTTTTAAACGATATTGTTATTTAAAAAATAGTTATACGACATAATTTTGCTTCTTTAAATAATTAAAATATTTTTTCGCGAAATCAAAATTCCAAATCGACTTCATCTTTTTCACTCAAAAATGAGGAAGATGAAGTTAATTTGAGATTTTGGCTCGTGAAAAATATGTTTTAAGTGTTTTTAAAAGCAAAATGATTTGATTAATATGTAATCAGTTTTGGAAACAACTTCGTTTAAATAGTTAACATACATCTATTTTTAATCAAAATTTAACATTTTACTATTCAGATTTCTTAAGTGGCCGAATCAACAAAATATGAAAGTTAAAATGACCAATATTTGAAAGTTGGAGAATTTTTTTGGCTCAAATATGAATTGAAAGTTTTATTGACTTTAATTTAAAAATTCAAAGTTTTAATGACACACTTTTCTCAATGAACAAGTGAAAACACTTTTTAACATAAGCGAATTAATTGAATAGTCATAAGGTGGGCTTGTTTGAATAGATATAATTTTGGAAATTTACAATTTATTAGTATTATTAACTAATAAAACTGCATAGAAACTAGCAAACATGTTAATTTTTAATAATAATCACAAAGAAAATCAGAAGTACTTTTTAATAATTTTACCACTATAATCTTAGTAGAATTAGGAAAACACTTAGTATTTGGTCAACATGCTTACAAATATACTTGTTTTGTTTATTGATATGTTTGCGTAACAGATAATGATATGAGTATACTTGATTTGTATGTGACTATATCTATTTCATCGGTGAAGAAACAAGATATGGTGAAGTATAGTTTTCTTTCCTTTTAACAGAGTTTATTTTTAGACTGGCTGGTATGTGTGATATTTCCCCTTTCATTTTATTATTTTTTGTATTTTATTCACATCACACTGATCAAATGACATGATTATATGTTAGAGGAGGCATGAGACAATGGGAGTCTACTTGGATAGTTTGATTCGACTTTAATGTGAGGACAACGTCTTCAATGGACTGGTGCTGAAACCATTTGGCATTATGAAGATTATCGATAAAAAGTTCAAGTAACTCTCTCGTTCCAGTTTGCAAAATTTATCTGCTCTAGATGCTTGGGAGAAGTAAACTAACTAATTTCATAGTCTTTTTTATTACATAGTTTTGTTATGTCAAAATGTTTGCTTCTCTTTGTACAAAAGCTGAACTAATTAATATTTTTGTTAGACGATCTAGACTCAAGGCAGAAGATTGTAGTTTTGTAGGCCATACAATATTTCATTTTCCACACGAAGAAAACTGATTCGATAGTTAAATATGGTGTTTTGATAATGATCTTTATGGCGGATAAGGTAATTGTTATCTAATGAGAATTAAAGTTTCAAAATACTGAAGAGAAAGCCAGAGGATAATTTTGTGAAGAACTAAGAGCATTTTTTAACATTTAGAAATTACAGAAGATGAACTCAAATAAAAACTATAGATTGTTGACATGTGGCCATCAGATTTTCAATACGCATCAAGAAATTTGTACAGCCATAGCCTCTCATTAATCTTTTTCCTACTTTTTGTTTAATTTGTAGTTTTATAAATGTTAAAACTTGGGGGGGGGGGGAGAACTCATTTTTAATAATGCTCTAAGAAGATCAATGCATACTCTTAAATAGTTAGACTGATTTTCTTTTAGATGTTTAGTTGGTTTATATAGAGGAGAAATGCCTATATTTCGATCTGAATTTTTCACGTGTGTATCTATACCTTTACAGATTTTATAACAATGAGTAGTTTACTTTCTCAAAAAAAAACAATGAGTAGTTTATCATGAACTTAATACAGATCCAAAAAAATCTATATGAACATTTGTAGACGTGCTTAAATGTACCTTGACCAGGATCAATTGGTTGACTATACATCTAACATGGTGTTATCATTTAAAACGACAACATTTAGCTAATGAAAAGAAAAGTTAGTCATTTATAGAAATAGAACCCACCAAAGAAAATCAAATTAAACCACCTAAACTAGACCTAAGCAAACTACGTAGTTTTTTTTTATCCTTTTTGCCAATGTGTAAGCTTTTAAATACACTATTCTGTAAATCTAACATTATGGGGTTTTAGCAAAAAAAAAAAAAAAAAAAAAATCAAATGTTCTTGATTTTGTAATAGTTATCTTTGTTGGGCCGATATAGGCCCATTAGGAGAGACGATGGGCCAAGTCGACTTCTACCACCCCGACAGATACAAACTCATGCAGAGAAGAGCAGAGAAAGAAACCCTAATTGAAGTTTAGAACAATGACGACAATTTTGGACCTTCCATTGGATTTGGTAGAGGATGAGATACTCTCTAGGTTGCCGATTACATCTCTGAGATCTGTGCGATCCACTTGCAAAAAGTGGAACGTTTTATGTAAAACTCGAATATTTTTTGGTAAAGCAGCAAAGAAACACTTCTTGATGATGGACTTGAGGAGGATCTGTTTGATGAACTTCGATCTCCGCAAAGAGGATGGCGACTCATCTATAAAACAAGTAAGCGTACTTTATCAAATCCAGATCTCTGATGTATTACAGTGTGACGGCCTGTTACTATGTGTCCTCGAGGAGGATAGCTCTAGGCTCTTAGTATGGAACCCTTATTTAGGGCAAATTAAATGGATTGAACCAAGAAACAGTTTCCATGGTGGAGACAGGTTTGGTTTCGGATACGACAACAACAATAATAACCTTAACCACAAGATCCTGAGGATATTCGATAAGATTCATCCAGTTACACGTAGGCGTGTTTTAGGGTTCGAACTCTACGATTTCACCTCGAGTTCATGGAAGGTTCTTGATGGTGTCACTCCCGAATGGGAGATACGGTCTCGACAACACAGCGAGTCGTTTTTGAAGGGAAACGCTTATTTTCGTACGAGTGTTGTAGGTTTCTTCGTCTGTTTTGATTTCACAACAGAGAGGTTCGGACCGCTTCTGCCTCTGCCAGAGTTTCATTCCTACAATGGATCACATTTTGTGACTTTCTCTTGTGTTAGAGAAGAGAAGCAGCTCGCTGTCTTGTATAACCACTGGGAGGCACCTGATACGATCGAGATAAGTGTTACGGATAAGATTGGTCCTGATGCTGTGTCTTGGACGAAGTTTTTGAAAGTGAACATTGGCGTTATTCCTAGCCCTTCTTGCGGTGACTTTTTCATTGACGAGGAGAAGAAAGTTGCTGTGGTTTTCGTTCTAGAAACGATTGATGCCTATCGCTACCAAACTGCCCATGTCATTGGACAAGATGGATACCACAAATCTGTGAGAATCCGTGAAGCTTCGAAGCTTGTAAGTACTCCGCCACTGGTGTACCAGTCCTCTTTATATCTTCCAAGCTTGGTGCAACTGCAAATCAACCAGGCTAATTGAAAGAATGTGATCATCTTTCTTTTTTTTCGAATAATCGTTAATTTGTGTGTGTGTTTTTTTTTAATGTTTGGCTTTTGAATGTTTTAGCCTCTCTTTTCAGACTTGTTCATGTCACTTGTGATATGTATTAAAATCCTTGATTAAGAAATATCAGCTAAATAGTTCTATCTAAATGCCATAAAGTAAAATCTAATTTTATAGAAATTGCAATCACCATGACATCTGATGTGAATGAGCTTGAAGGTGAAGTTAGAAACCTGAAAGCTATATTGTTGATGTTGCAAGAGGATAAAAGGAAGAAGATTACATAAGCTAACCTTTTGTTTTTAAAATTTTGCAACAATGTCGGCTGCTTCACCTGGTGAAACATGTGATGGAATCTGGCCTGATGTTTGAGGCCGGGATGCGCTAGGCGAGGTGAGAAGAGATGGTACCACGGTTTTTCTGTGACTCCCCATCTTGTTCTTTTGATAATTATTCCAACACCCCAATTATATACAGCATCTTAAACTTTATCAAATAAGATTCTTCTGCATGTTTATATTGATATACAAACATTGCAGAGTCTGAACAGGAGAGAGGTTAGATAAAACACTGCAGAGTTTAATAACAAATTAATAAACAAAACAAAAAAGAGCACATTCACAATAAACATTTGCCAATGGGTAACAGCTCTTAGATCAACTCTTTTGAAAATCTAAATATAATATATTACTTTATAGACAAGCCAACTTTTTTTACTTAAAAAGGACAAGCTAACTGTTTTGTTTTGTTTTTGTTCAACCACTAGTAGAAGACTAAGGATATTAAACTCCTGCAGAGGTAGAACGAAGGGAAAGGGACCAGACTTTGACCAAAAAAACGATTGAAACAATGAAGACAATTTTCGATCTTCCAGAGGATTTGGTGGAAGATGAGATAATCTCTAGGGTGCCGATGACATCTCTAAGA